GGCCAGGAACTTCAGCGTGAGGCGGGCGGCGGGGGCGCCCGAGGCCCCCCGGCAGGCGCGGCGGCGGGGTCGGGGCGCGGGGCCCGGGCGCGCGGGGCCGAGCGGGGCCGAGCCGGGCCGAGCGGGGCCGAGCGGGAGCCGAAGCCGGAGCTGTTGCCGCGGCCGCTGCTGCCGCCGCTCTGAGCCCGGGCGGCGCGAGGAGGAGAAGGCGGCGGGCGGCGGGGAGGGGGAGCGGGCGCGGCGGCCCCGCCCCGCCGGCTCCCCCCGGGGCCGGCCCTGGCCCAGCCCCGCACCCGTTCTGTGCCGGGCGCCGCCGAGAGCGTGGTCCCGCCGTCCGCACCGCGCCGGGGCGGGGGGAGGGGGCGGGCGGCGACCCGGTGGCCGCGCGGCGGGACTCCCGGGGGACCCCCGCCGCACCCCTCCTGGGCTCCAGGCCCCTCCCCGAACCCGTAATGCCGACAGCTACCTGGCAGGGAGCTTGTCTCCGCGTCGGGCTCAATTAAGCCTCACGGTGGACACGCTCACCGGGGAAATGAGAAGCCTGGGGCCCACCGAGGTCAGGTCGCTGTCCAAGGTCACGCAGCTAGGATGCGTTGGAGCAGCGTTTGAGTTCAGGCGCTTCTGAGGGGACTCAGGTTGTAGGATTGAGCTGGGGTGGGCGTGGGTAGAAGAAAAGAGGTTAGTATTGGGGGTAGGGGACTGGAGAATTTGAGGCAACCACCAACCTGTCACTCCCCACCTCCGACCTCCTGAAGGAACAGGGTTCACTCCCCTCCACCCCCATCAAAAAACAAAAACCCAAGAACACACACACACACACACACACACACAGCAGAAAAACAAAGAAACAAAAACTTCCTGTGATCTCAGAGGGTAGCAGAATCCTTAAGGGCATGAAACATCGGGGGTCCCAGAGAAGACCCCTCTCCCCACCACAGTCTACATTAGGAAGGTAAAACCCTGCTGGACCTGTGGACCAGGCACTGGAAGGAACCAGAAGGAATGGGAGTGACCTATGGAGCGGAGGTGGTTGAGGAGACTTTTACTTTCTCCTTTCAAAAATGCCTATATGTATTTTTTGTTGCGAATTAACTTTGCAATTAAAAACTTAAAAAAAAAACAAAAAACTTCCTACCATCCTCCACAATTCAGGTCCAGCTCGTTTTCCACGAGGTGTTTTCTGACCAGCCTGAGTTCCCAGTGCTGGAAGGACACCGAGAAGGCTGTGGATGTTCGGCTGTTTGCAGCAAAGGGTGGAGGAGAGGGGCTGTGGCTCCTGGGAGTCACTGACCAAGGCCATACCCAGGTCAGTCCTGAGCCTAGGCCACACCCAGGCCTGTCTCCCTTCCTAGCCTGCATTCTTGACTTGAGACTGGGGCTCAAGTCACAAACTGGGGCTCTGAACCACCATGGCTACAGTATGGTCTCTGCAGAGTGCTGGTGGCAAGAAGAGACCAGAACATTTCTCAGAAGGCCACCGCCCTGGGGGACCCTCTTTGACCACTGGGATCCTGCCCAGTGGTCCCTGAGCACATGCTCCTCACACCCCACCCCTCCCTCAGCCCCAGGATGATGCCTGTCCTGCTCACCAGATCTCTCTGGGAGTCAAGGATCATGAGCTATAAAGTGGGAGCCAAGCGAGTGTAAGTTCTATATGATGAACCTCCAGAGCCCTACGCGCGTGGATGTGAGTTAGTTTATACATTGGAACAGTGACCTGGAAACCCTGCCAGGCGGAACAGCTTGGGGGAGGCATCTCCCTGATGGAGAGGTGAGCCAGGCTCTCTGAAGACAGACGCAGGCAGAATGGGGACCATGAAGTCCTGCAGGTGCATGAGGCATCGGGACTCCTGGTGCGTCTACGTGTGTCCTGTGAAGACAGAAACACGTATCTAAAATCCCCAGGAGAAACTGTTACAGAAAATCCACGGAAGCACAGGGGAGGCCAAGAGAGGGGGCTGCTGCCAAGGGCAAGGGAGCCACCGTGGCTTGGGCACCAAATGGTGCCACTTTTATGTGAGCTACCCCATGAGATTTAGGGACAATTGAATAAATGGGTCCAGAGGCTTGAGTCAAATCTTGTTAAATTGGTCTGTTTAGCCCCTAGAATGGCTTTTTAGACCTGTGATAGGAGCATGCCACTCTCCTGCTTCTAAGCTCCCTGTCCCTTATGGAATAAATTCCAAACCCCTTAAGAGGCAGTACTGCCCAGTGGCCAAGGGCATGGATTCTCTTAGAGCCAGAAAGCCTCATTCTCACCCTGCCTGCCCCTCTTACCAGTTGTACGACATAGTTTGCAAGGAGGGTAAAGTCTCAGGCCTTTCCCAATTCCTGACACCCTCTCTGCACCTGTTTTCCAAATTATAAAATGGGGGAATAACAGTAATACATGGAAAGCCTCAGTAAATGCCAGGCCTTATGATGCTAGCTTCTCTTGGCTTGTAAGACTGTTGGTAATCTGGACCCTGCTCATCCTTCCAACCTCATCTCCTATTCCTCACTGTCTGGAGCAATGTCAAACTGTGCATAATTCCCCAAACACACCAGAATGACCCCCCTCTCTGCCTTTGTTCATGCTGCAGCTGCCTGGAGTGCCACTCCTCTCCTTCTTTGGCTCATCTCCATCCCCACCATCCAGCAGGGTAGCTTCTTGGTGAATGTTTGCGGACCTAGTGCCCCCAACACTGCCTGCTGCTGGAGGCAGAGAGGGGGGCTAGGACAGGGAGGTCCTGAAACCCATTTCTCCGGGACTGTGGGAGAGACTGCCCCCACCACCGATCCTAACACAGAATCCCTCCAGAGATGGCCAGAAAAGCAGATTCTCAGGGGAACTCCCCTCAGACTTGAATTGTCCCCACATTTTCCCTCTAAAGTCTCGCACCTCTAGGCTTTTTATTGCTTCACTTATATTCCATTCTTAGGGTAAGGGGATTCTGCCCTAAATGAACAAGTATCTTTATTCATTCAAAATATATGTTTTGAGACCGACTTTGTGCCAAGCATAATGTCAGGCACTGGAGAGAGCTGGAAATAAGACAAACTCAGTTTATAACCTAGTGGGGAGGCAAGCAGTAAACAAATGAATAATTAAATAAATAAGTTAATTTATAATAGTCATGAGAACCACAAAGAAAAGTTAAAAAGTAATATTATAGAAAGTTGTAGATGGTGTGTCTGTGTGTTGGGGGGGTGGATTTGGGAGATTGGCATTATTTATAAGGTTGTCAGAAAGGTCCTGCACATGAGCTGAGACCTGAATGACCCGAGAAACCAGCTATGCAGAAATCTGGGGAAAGACTGAGCCTTGGAGGTTGGATGACCAAGAGAATTGGATGGGTCATTGTAGAGGTAGAGTTTGCCATGTGGATCCTCCAGGAAGCAGGCACTTAGATGGGGTTGGATATGCAAGTGGTTGATTGGGGGCTAAGGGCTGTGCGAGCCTCAGACCCCAATGCAGATCTGACAAAGTCTTGGCCAACCCAACAGGGAGCTCCAGGGTCAAGACTGACCATTGGGGAAGTCTTGCATTGGGCAGAAATGCCCAATCCCTAATACCCTTTTTGTGCTTGGTCATTAGTTGGGAGCTGCTCCAGAAGAAGGTGGCTTCAGCTCAGAAGCTGGGGTGATGTGCACACAAAAGCCTGCACATAGATGTTTATAGGAACTTTATACATAATTGCCAAAACTTGGAAGCAACCAAGATGTCCTTCGGTAGGTGAATGGGTAAATAAACTGGTATATCCAGACAATGGAATCTTATTCAGCAATAAGAAGAAAGGAGCTCTCAAGCCATGAAAAGACATGGAGGAAACTTAAATGCATATGACTAAGTGAAATTAGCCAGTCTCGAAAGGCCACATGCTATATGATTCCACCTCTATGACATTCTGGAGAAGTAAAAACTATAAGGACTGTAAAAAGATCCGTGGTTGCCAGGGTTATGGGGAAGGGAGGGATGAATTGGCGGAGCACAGAGGATTTTTAGGGCAGGGAGACTATTCTCCAGGATACCATAATGGTGGGTACATACCATTATACATTTATCCAAACCCATAGAATGTACAACACCAAGAGTGAAGCCCAATGTAAATGAGGGACTTGGGGCGATAATGTGTGTCATTGTAGGTTCATTCCTTGCAACAAATGCACCACTCTGGTGGGGGACATTGATAGTGGGGGAGCCTATGCATGTGTGGGGCAGGGGGTGTACGGGAAATCTTTGTATCGTCTGCTCAATATTTCTGTGAACCTAAAATGGCTCTAATGAACGAACAAACAAAAGCTGGGATGGCTCCAGAAAGCAAGGCAGCTGGAGGGTGTCTGCTAAATGCACCAGGGGCAGCCCCATGCAGATTCATGCTTAAAGGGGGAGCTGAGTGCTAAATGCACCAGGTGCGGCCCCATGAAGATTCATTCTTAAAGGGGGAGCTGAGCAGTGCCCCCTCCGTGGCTGCCACAGCCCACCCCTTGCGCTGTGAAGATCCACTTCTCCACACAGGTCAGGAAGCATCTCCTCCAAGCACCTCCCCCCCTCGCCGGGTCTCTCTTCCCGAGGAGACATTTAGCAGTGGGGGTTGGTGGGATGAACCACAGCCTCAGTCACTGCGGTTGGTCTCAGGGCCCCAAGAGGTATCCACTGTCTCCCTCCTCCACTACCCATCAAAAATTCCCCTTGCCCTCTGCTGAGAAAAGATGGGATGAATATTCTTTCCTTCCCCTAAACCAGTGAAGTCCATGGTATGATACATCTGCTCAATACATGTTTCTTGAACCGAGACGTGTTTTTGTAAAGTCGGGGCGGGAGGAAGGACAATGGGTAGGGAAAACCTTCAGGCTACAACAAAGTCACGTCTAAAAGAATGGGAGAACGCTGCTGGTTTGGTACCTCGTAGTTTCTGTCTGCCACAGGCACGTTGTGGACTCAGACCTTGAACTCGGGGCTTCAGGTGACCAACTCATTTCAGTTTAGCACTGCAAGTCCTATGTCCTGGGAAACCTCTCAGTCAGGCTAGTTGGTCACCCTAACTATCTCCAAATCACACGCCCCCAGGTGCGGGTAAGTAATGGGTATCGAACAGCACGTGACTCCCCGTCTTCCTGCCATCCTCAGCCCCTGTGCTTTCCTCCACTACAGCACCTCCCACTTTACCTGTCCCTGCAAGACCGTGAGCCCCTTCGGGGCAGGGACCAGCTGAGTCCTCCTCATCTCTGTGTCTCCGGGGGCCTGCACTCCTGGCTACTCAAGCTCCCAGCGAAGGCGGACAATTCCTCTTGGGGTGTGCTTGTGAGCTAAAGAGCTTCCTTTCCCTGGGGAGTGGGGAAGCAGGGGCTGGGGGACAAAGAGAGCTGCCAGTGTCCATCCTGGACATCTCCATCCTGAGGGTCCAGTCTCCAGCCGGGGATGGACTGTCCCAGAACCAGAGCCGCCTCAGTCTCCTTGTCTATAAAGTGGGGTCATGGTACTCACCGCATAGTGAGAACGGGAAAAGAGCAGATGAGATGTGTGTAAAATCTCCGGAGGACTCAGGGGCAAGGACAATTTCCCACCATGTTGTTTTGTATGCCTAGGGCACAGCACAGTGCCTGGCACTTAGTACATGCCCCAAACATGCCATCCCTTCCTTATTTATTCCTAGCACCTATTAGGTGCCCAATGAAGGTTAATTTCCTTTTTTACTTCTTTTTTTTTTAAGATTTTATTTATTTATTTGGCAGAGAGAGGGAGCAAGCACAAGCAGGGGCAGTGGCAGGCTGAGGGAGAAACAGACTCCCTGCTGAGCAAGGAGCGCGATGCGATGCGGGGCTCCATCCCAGGCAGACGCTTAACCCACTGAGCCACCCAGGCGCCCTCCGTTTTTTTCTTCTTTACCTTTATTCCCCGAGTGCCTACAGTAGGCTCACTCTCCTTTCTTGGCTCCTCTCCCACCCCCTTCCCGAACAGAGTGGTGAATCATTCAGACTAAGGCTCATATATGTGTTCAATCAACGTACCCCAGCCTGGGACCTTCCAAGGGGAAGCAGGGCTCAGAAATGTTTGCCTATTAGCAGTAGGTTCCCCGGCTAGGAGCCCAACCAGAGAGGAGGGGCAGAAGCCAGGGAGGAGAGAGCTTTCCTCTCTGGGGAAGCCCAGAGATTTCCATCCAGGGTTTCTGCTTCCCTGGAAGCAGCAAAAGGAGCCAACCCACCTCTCAGGCTCAGGCAGGAAGTGAGGACATCTGTTCCCAGCTCAGGAGGGGCCGAGAACCAAGGAGGAAACGGGTGTCCTCCTTGTAGGGGACCTGGCAGTTGGCGGGAAGGTGTGTGCCTGCAGCCAGACCCAGCCCAGAAAGACCGGGATGAGTGGCCGGCTGCGTCCTCTTTTTGTGGCTGTTGGGGGCTGGGGTGCTCTCACTGTCTCACCCTCATCCCGCCAGCCCCTGGGGCTCAGTCCATTCCTCCTCCCCACACTTGTTATTCTGTTACTCACCGCAGCAACCTCAGAGCTCCACGTTAAAATCCTCCCTCTCTGAATTGGAACTCAGAGAGGTTCTGTCGTTTGCCCAGGGCCCCATGGTCAGTGCAGGTATGCGTGGGATTTGAACCTGGAAGTTTGCAGAACGTTGCACATTCTCGCGCTCTCTCCGAGTAGATCAGACCCTGACCAATGAGGAAACAGCCAAGTATATCCTGGGAGCCTCCCGCCAGCCTGGGCTCCGTCCACCTCCTTCTCCCAGGCCCTCCCCTGATCCCAGGAGTTCGTCTAAAGCCAAGAGCCGCTGTGGCCCACACCCGCCCTCTTCCAGGGGGCCCAGCACCTGTTTCTGTCGCACTGATCTGTGATTTGTGTTTCCCCCTGAGAGCCCGAGAACTTCTGGAGGTCTGGCACTGCATCTGTTTCGTATCTGGGTCACTGGCATCCAGTGTGTGCTCTGGGTGTGTCTACTTCACCCACGATGGAACCTAAGGACTGATGGCCATTTCTCCAGCTCCTCTAGGAAAGGCAGTTTTCTGATAACCCCCAGGATTCTGCAGACACTGCACCTGAAGCCAGGGAAGCCAAGTTTTAGGGCTCCAGGATCATCCTTTTCTTAATCCATAGAATGGGTATGGGCAGACCTTGCTGTCTACAGAGATGATGTAAGGCCTGTGACAGATAAGAGGTCTCCTTTTGAAGGAGGCTCAGGGACGGGCGGATACTGAAGAGTCAGAGCCGAGGCTTGTGATGGGGTTAGAGGCAAGGGGGGTACCTGGGACCTGACTGGATGACCGCTTATGTGTATCCAGCGAAGAACCAAGGGTGTCTGACAGCTACTCCTCAAATACCATGTGTTTCCTGATCTAGCTTGGGGACCCAAGGTGATCCCTAGGGGAAGTGGGGGGCAGGTTGGAGAGACTCTCCCAGAGGCTGGAAGAAGGGACCATGCAGGAGAGCAGGGTACAGTGGGTGGTCCTGCTGGCTGGACCCCGGCTGCTGCCCATTGAGCTTGCCAGCCCTCTTCTTGGCCCACCTCAGGATGGGTCGGGGCTTGGGTCTCTCTCCTCTAAAATTTGCCTGCTACCAGCATGAGCTGCAGCCACTAGCAAATTGTACCCACACACAATTTGTTTTTTCAGATACAGAAATGGAGATTCAGGGAGGGAAAGGGACTTTCCTGAGATTACACAGCAAGGAGGAAGCATTTGATGATAATGACGAGGTGGTCCTTGCTCTGTTCCTAAGTGCATGATACGAAATCATCTAAAGCCTCACAAACCCCCAATGGAACCGGCATGCTACTATCACCATCCCCATGGTATGGCTGGTGAAGCACAGAGAAGTTAAATAACTTGTTTTAGGTCACTCAGCTGCCAAGGTGAGGAGCTGGGATTCAAAGCCAGACATTCAAATTCATGACCACTAGGCTATACGGACTTTCTGGGAGGAAGCCCAATGCAGGGAAGGCCGTTCTGGCAGGCCTGAGCCCGATGGACTGGGTCGAGGGTAAAGGGTAGGGCACGAACAGCAGAGGGGAGGAAAGGCGGCCTGTTTGGAGGCTGAAGCAGTGAACAGACCCAGAGTGAGCTGTGCTCGGCAGGCTGCAGGCAGAAGTCATTTTACTCTTTCCCAGTGGCCGCCTTGTCAACCTGTTCTGTTGACCCCATCTTTCCCACTCTTGGATGAAATTTCAGGTATATCTCATAACTTTTTCAGTCACTCTGAGGTTTTACCTTATTTTTTTAGATATCAAAATCGTCTAGTTTAGTAGCAAAGTTTTAAGCTCTGTTCAAGACTTCTTCTTTCCCTCAAGTCTGCCTTAAACTCAAAGACCTGTATAATGAGGAAGGAGTCATTCTCTCATTAGGGGTACTTCTGTGGGTTCTTCAGAGACCCCCCTCCAATCACTAGGGATTTCCCACCTGCAGTTTCTACCCGGGCAAAGCCTCCCCGGGCTGGCTGGGCTTACAGCCCCCTTCAGCACCTGCCTTCCGGGTTCCAACTCAACATGAGTCCTTCTGATAGGATCTCATGCCCCCTCCCTGCTTCCCTCCGCACTCCCACCCCCACACCAATCCTCTTGGGGCAGGGTCCTGATTCAAAATGACCTCAAACCAGCCACATTCTTCAAGGTTCCCTCTGGGGCCCTGGGAAACACATTTGCATCCTGGCCCCCAAAGGCTGGAAGTGCAGGCTGTTCCCAAAGCAGCTCAGTCCTTGCCTCGAAGAAGCAAGGAAGCCTAGCCAGGCTTTCCCCTTTGTCATTTACCCTCAGAATTCCAGGGGACACGTGCTATACCCTTGGGTTTTCCGAAGCCTCCCCTCACTTGGCCTGAGGTTGGGGAGTACTGCCAACTGTCTCTAAAGAGAGCCCCCTCTCCTCTCCTCTTCCCCCCCCCCCACTCAGCCATACAGCCTTGGAGGGCTGAGGGACCAGGAGCACTTCTGGCCCTGGCCCTTTGCAAATCTATGCTTTGGAACGGGGTACTTGGTACCCGTCGCCCTCAGCTCTGGGGGTCTGGACTGGAGCGGGCAGCAGGGCTGAGGGGGAAGGGAGGGATTCGAGTGGGATTTCCATTCGGGGGTCCCTCAGTCACAGATGCTGGTGACAGGCCAGAAAGGGATGAGTCAGAGACGAGGCGCAGGGTTCAGGCCCCACCAGTGGAAGGCAGTGAGTCAGGCAGCCCGTGGGGGCCAATTTGCAGTCTGGAGGCTGGTTTTGAAGATGGAGTTTGAGGGTGTCACATGGGGGTAGAGCAGAGGGGTTGAAAGCATGGACTTTGAAGTTAGGGTGTTTGGGTTTCAATTTCAGCTCCGCACACAGCTTACCAAGGGTACCACCCGGAGCAAGTGACTCAGTCTCTCCCACCAGTTTCCCTGGCTGCACCATGGGAGCATTAAGCCAGAGTGAAACTCCAGTGTGCAGCTCAAAGCCTGGCTCGTGGGGCCCTCAGCAGGGTTCCCTGCAATCCCACGAGGAAGGGAGTATTATTCTCATCTCCCATTTTACAGATGGGGAAACTGAGGCACGGGGACCTAAGCAACATGCTGGGGCAGTCTCACACAGTCAGGCAGCCCAGCTCTACCTACTGTGTCCTCACCTACCATGCCATGCAGGAGGACGTGGGCACGGTGGGAAGTATGACCGTGTGGGTTCAACTCCCACCTCTACCGCATAGGAATTCGTGAGCCACAATTTCACCTTTCTGGACCACAGTGCCCTCATTTCTATATCGTAGGTACTGAGCTCTCTGGCTTGTGAGGATTTAATTAGTTAATCCTTGTAAAGTCCACTCTGTCTGTGTTAGTTGTCTTTCTTAGAGCAATCCTGGGTTGGAAGGATAATTAGAGGAAACCCCTCTCCTCTGTTTTACAGAAGAGGACGCAGAGGCCCAGAGAGTGCTTGACGGGCCTGAGATCACACAAAGTGGCAGAGCTGGGACTAATCCACTGTTCAACTATACCGAAGCTCTTACATGGGAGGAGGGCATTGAGAATTGGTGAGCAGAGCCCTGGAGCACCTGGGCCGGAAGTCAGAAGAATGGTCAAGTCTGGACACGTAGATCTGGAAGATGTCTCCTCCTACCCAAGTGGTGCTTGCACAAAAACCCTTTCGCACCCATCACCTCAGGCCTCCCAAGGAACCCTGAGAAGTAGGGACTCCCGGCTTCCACGACAGCTGAGGGGCACGAGGGCTGTAGAGAAGTGACCTGACCACCTGAACCCAGACAGGGGTCTCCTTCTGGTGACAGGGGTGTGATAGGCAGGCAGGCGGAGGAGGGATGAGTGTGGGGGAGCACGTTGGGGCTGATGAGAACAGAAAGCCTCCACCACGACACTTCGACATGGACACTGTGTCAAGGGAGCCTGAGAGAGGACGGTCACTTTAATGAGTCCCTGCGGGGGACAGTCTACAATTGCCTTTTCCAAAGTGTGTCCTGTTGCCTTGCTCACAGACGGGACTATCGGAGCCTTCACAGAGAACCCCTAGGGACCTCCAAATCCACCTGAAAAGAGTGTGTTGCTCGTGCTGGGATTTCACACCATGAGATGAGGTGGGCAGAAGGCCGGCGGGGTGGGGGGTGCTGTCTTTATGCCATAGCACCAAGAACACCTGCCAGCTGCTTTGCCCCATTTCCGCCAGCTCGTCATGGCTCTGCATTGATGTTTCCCTCTGGCTCATAAAGGCTGATCGTTAGCCGCTGTCATTTAAATGGAGGCTCATGTCTTTGTCACACTCTGAGCTCAGCCTTTGGAAGAGACAGAGATGACTTTGGTCTTCTGCTCTAATGAAGGTCATATTCCATCTAGAGGGACCACGGGAGACCTGTTCCCATCCAGCTTCAACTCCAACTGGCTGTGCACCTCCTGTGTATCTACCATGTATTCACATTTTCACATTTATCTTGAGTCTCACTGTTCTACGGAGATTTCAGAAGTTTGGGGAGGAGAGAGCAAGACACCAGGGAACGAGAGATGTGTATTACCATCCAAGTATATGAGGCTTGGTTTTTCAGTTCTTCTAGCTATTCATTTTTCGTTTAATTATACATGAACTGTGATGACAAGTTTCTTGAGATGTATTGGGATTTGCTTTATATCCTGCCGCATGATGTCCATGGTAGTGTCTGGAAATCTTCAGTGTGTCACAGCTTGAAAATGACGTGTCAGGTGCAGGATTCCATACATGCTGTTTGTCATTCTGCTGTGTGTCTTTGTGGCTTTCTTCTTTGTATGTCTTGTAATTTTGGATTGCAAGCTCACGTTAACAAGGGTTTTATCTGTGAATATCCCACTGTGGCTTTTATTTGGGAATGTCCTTTCCAGAGAGGCTTGCATTTACTATTGCCACATGCTCTGTGGGTGTAAGGCATCCCACATTTGCTTTGTATGTTAATTACCAGATCTGGCAGTTCTGGGACCATGTGGGTAATGCAAATTCAACCCTCAGATTTGTGTTAGGGAAGGTCTAGAGTCATAATTTCTCAAGGGAGACTTAATTTTTGTTTTTCCAACCAGAGCCAAACATGAAACGTCTCTAATGACAGGTTTTTTGTTTTGTTTTTTTTTTTTTTGGTAACCATTTGCCTTTTCACTGAAGATATGCTATATTCAGGTGTCTTGGTTTCAGATCTCTTTTGGCAAGGGCTCAAGGCCTTGTCTCCCACCCGTATATAGATGTAGACTCCAAGCTCCTTCGTTACCAAGATCAGCAAAGGCCAATACCTCCCCATACCTGTTCCTGGGTCACCCGCAGACCCACCCTGCAGGGCAAAGGATTGGCATCTGCTTATCACTCTGATTTTGGCTTCCTCTTTGTTTATGGTCCGTGGGGATTTCTTTACTCTCTTGGAGGGTTGCTAGGTATTTAACAGAATGTCTGTTATACTTTAGTATCTCTAGGCATTGTGTAGCATCCCTCCAGAAGGTTCCATCCACCATGCCCAAGACCTGGATTCCACTCCTTCAGCCTCTGAGTGACCCTGGTAAGCCTCCTCCCACCTCCCCACCACTTGTCTGACTCACTGTCCCCAGCCACCTGCCCCACAACCTCACCCAGATGAAAGGCATGAGATTATTGGGTGGTGGCAGGCAGGGGCTAGATATCCCAGTGGCCTCTGGAGCAAAGCACTTAAGTCCCTAGTGATCCTTCCAGGGTGTCTGGTGACATCTCAGAGCTGAGGTGCACTTGGGGATAAAGGCTCTTCAACAAAGGGACAGATTTCCCTAGCAGTGCCTGGGTGAGCAGGAAATTGCTGCTCCAAGCCTCACGTCTATGGGTCAAAATCCCTCCTGATTCACACCCAAGGTGTCTCAAACTGCATTCACCCTCCTCCCAAGCTGACTCCCCCACCAGGCTCCCCAGCCCGCCTGTGAGTGGCACCAACACCCCCTCCTTTGCTCACCAGATACCCAGGAGGTTTTCAGAGGCTCCCTCTTGCAAGCACTGAAAGCCAGTCACAAAATCTTCAATATTCCAAATATCTCTCAACTCTGGTCACTTCCTACCATTCCCACTGCCTCTGCTGTGTCCAGGTCTCATTACTGCTCACCAGGGTTATTTCCTCCTTCAACCCTCCTGTGATGAAGAGACGCTCAGAGCGCATGGATGTCCGGAGGGTGGGGCCCCTCACCTGCTGCTTCCCTTGCAGACCCCCTGCACGGATCAGGCGTCCCTGAGCTCTCTGAGCCAGAGCCCTCTTTGAAGTGTGAACTGTCAGAAGCCAGCAGCCTGAACAAAGATGGTGCAGAATGGGCACACAGGCCTGTGATCTGGCTTGAGGGGGGCTTCCGATTTGGATGCAACCATGCTGAGCGCCCCTCTTCACTTCAGGCAGAATTTGATAGGGACAGAAAAGCCACTGCTCTTACAGCTTTTAAAAAATGATGGCGTAATTTTGCAAGCTTATCCTTCTCACCCTATCCCAACCCCTACCCTTCCCTTGTCCCAGCCCTGGGCTTCACCCCGGGGCTGACCCGGACCCCTGGCGAGGCCCAGGAAGAGAAGGTGAGGACGGGGGCTGGGTTAGGTACCACCTGGCAGATGAACCCTGTGACACCAACAGCGACCCTGGAGCGTTTCAGACAGGGCATCGTGCCCTCTGAGCTGAGTTTCGTGGTCCTGCCCGGTGCTCAAAGCAAACCCTCCAATCCTCCTTAAGAAGCAGTTATGGCCACACTCACTCAGGGGCAACTAATACAGAGCTCACTGCCTAGGAATGGCATGACTTGGAACAAGGGACAGCAGTGACTCTAAATCTCTGGACGCACCTGCTTCACAAGGGTGTTCCCAATCCCCGAGAGCGTGGGGCTTGGGGGCAAGAGCTGGAGGGCAGCCCCCTCCACCACTGAGAACTGTGCCACTTCAGGAAAATGAATGGATTAACCAAGCCCCCCCCCATGACACAGCTCTTCACTTGAGGCTTCACTGCGCCCCAGGGAGGGGGTGGAGGTGTGGAGCTGGGCAGGGGGAGAGAGGGGGATTTGGCCTGTAGTGGGTGCACTGAGCTCAGGGCTGCTTTGTCCGTCAGTATGGATTAAGGATTTTTGGGGAAGAGAACACTGAAACTGGCGAGATGACCGGGGAGGGGGAGGGCCGGAGTAGGCACCACGGAGGAGGGCCAGCCGACGGCACAGCAGGACTCACATCCCTCGCCCACCTTCCCACCCACCTGCCGGGACCAGGGGCAGACAGGGCCAGGCTCCCAATTGTCCTGCTGGCCCAGGACCAGTTGGATGAGTTGTCCCGGCATCCCAGGTCTGCTCAGTTACTCCCCCGCCTCACCGACCCCATCAGTAAGGGGGTGACAACTGGAGGAAAGAGGAATGGAGGGCCTAGCGTGTGTCAGGCGCTGGGCTGTGAGCTGTGGGTAGCGTGGGACGCTGCCGCCCCACCCTTAGGGACCTGGAAGGACAAGGCCCCAGGTAGGTGGCCAGGAGGCGCTGCAGGCTACGGGAGGCCCCTGCAGAGAACTCAAGGAGAGTGGGAGGGGCCGGCACCCCCCCCCCCCCCCCCGCAGGCTGCCAGTGGAGGACTTGCAACATGATCCTGAGGGCAGTGGGCTCCCAGGGGGCTTGAGGCGGCGGCTCCAGCCCCCTGTAGCACTGCCGTGGAAGAGGCAGGGGTGGAACAGGCTAGGACGGAGCCTGGCAGACCGGTCAGGACGGGGCAGGGGGGGGTGCACACAGGCTGGGGAGACACCGGGGATTTCATGATCAGGGGTGGGGGCGCTGTGGAAGGGGAGGATTCGGGGGGACATGTGCTCAAGGTCTGGCAAATGGGTGGCCACCGATGCACAAAGGCGTGGCTCAAGGGCAGAGCGACAGGGCCCTTGAGGAAGGCATAGGTTTGCCCAGGGCTGCGGCTTTTCAACCCATGAGGTTGCCCTA